TATATATATATATATATATATATATTGATTGTTATGGTGTTTTTAATCACCAAAAATGCAACCCTTTTCTAGCAAAGGACAGATGTACTTCTGCATGCAATACTCCAATCAAATTGGCGGCCCAAGGCCAACAAGGATTCCAACTGAGTCGACTTGCCAAGTCGACATTTCTTCATGTCAACTCGAATGGCGTAACTTGTCGGTCGTCTTGTCGAAGACGACTCGCTACGAGCCCATTCGACCTGTTATTCGACGCCTCATAATGACGACTTGAAAGACGTTACTTCTCGGTGAAGCTAGAGGACGACTTCATCCTCGAGCCTCTCCTGCTGACACAACGTCGATGTTGCATTTAATGCTTGGCAGACGCCATCATACCTCTAGCCCTGATAGCCTTCATGACTCATCGGACCATGTCAGAACCGCCATGCCTCAGATCAATTCATATTTAATGCTGATGTGATCTCTCCTCCACTTGCCGGGTGACGTGTGTAAAGTAGGTGCTGACGCAGCCGCCAGCTCATACTTCTTCTCTGTCATCCTGTGCTTGGCCGAAGTTTCCATTCTACCCTTATACTATCAGTATAAATAAGAGGTACTATTCTAATAGAAACTTCTTCTGACTTTTGAGTTTAAGGACTTTTGGATCTTTTTTTAGAAATCTGATCTTCTAAGATATATCTGCAAATTATACTACACACATAAGAACTCAGAGTTATTCACTTTTCCCACTTAAGTTTACCAGCTAACTTGATCGTCGGAGGAACTCTAGGCAAGTAAAATTACCTCTATCCCTAACAAAGGAAGATTTTGAACATACACGAGTTGTGCAACAAGACGTAGCAACTTGGAACAAGCAAAAGAGCTCAAAGGCCCACCTGAGCATTCAAGTCAGGCCCACCTAAGAACGAAGTTCGCTTGAAGTTGAACTTCTCCTGAAAGTGAAGTTCTTCTGAACACTGAACTTCGCCTGAAAGTGAAGTTCGCCTGAAGTTGAACTTCGCTTGAAAGTGAAGTTCGCCTGAACACTGAACTTCGCCTGAAAGTGAAGTTCGCCTGAAGTAGAACTTCGCCTGAACACTAAACTTCGCCTGCAACGCCAAGTCCGCCCGCAACGCCAAGTCTGTCTGCACAGCTTGACCAAGTTAGCCACTAAAGCCTAAATCATGGATACGGTTGCAACCACTTCCCCACATTCTTAGGAGGCGGTTATAGACCATTCTCCTTTATAAAAAGCCACGAATGGCTACAAAAAAAGGGGGACTTTTTTGGGCATAAAAAGGGAACCGAGCTGAGCATTTGTGTGCATTCAACCTTCACATTGTAGCTCGGATGTTCGAACTCAAAAGACCAAGCTTCTACCACGCGCTGAAGTTTGTTCACAACCTCGTTCAAATTGTCAACAGGAAGCAAACTCGACTTAAGCATCCAAGGAGTCATCCTATCGCCCCAAAAGATCCCACGTTAAACAAAGAGAGATCGAATCAATTCTCTCTGCTTCTGGGTAAAAGCGATTCCT